GCCCCGGGCCCGAGCCCGGCCGGCCCGCACTGAGCCCCGGTTCCCAGTGTTGGCTGGAATCACATTGTGTGTTATTCCCTGTAGGGAATAATAATCACATTGTGTGTTATTCCATATGTAGGGAATAATAATCACATTGTGTGTTATTCTATATGTAGGGAATAATAATCACATTGTGTGTTCTATATGTAGGGAATAATCACATTGCATGTTACTCCCTATGTAGGGAATAATAATCACATTGTGTGTTATTCTGTATGTAGGGAATAATCACATTGCATGTTACTCCCTATGTAGGGAATAATAATCACATTGTGTGTTATTCTATATGTAGGGAATAATAATCACATTGTGTGTTATTCCATATGTAGGGAATAATAATCACATTGCATGTTACTCCCTATGTAGGGAATAATAATCACATTGTGTGTTCTATATGTAGGGAATAATCACATTGCGTGTTACTCCCTATGTAGGAAACTGGTGATGGATGCAAATGGCTCATTTCAGAAATCTGTCTTGATAAAGCAGAAGACTAGAGTTCAATTGTTCAAAGAGCTCTCTGATCAGTGTTTTCAGGATTTCAGTATCATTATTTTTTATTTTTTTTTTTCCTTCTCATTGTCCTATTTATTTTTGTCTCCCTATGTTTATTTCCCCACCTGTACTGTGACAACCAGCACGTAGAAAACCAATCAACATACAGGTTTGGTGGTGATGGGACATCAGAGGAACACTCAGATGCATAGAAACAACTGCCAGCAAGAGCAGAAATGTAAAAAATAAATGTAAGTAATTTGGTTTTTTATGACCACATGTAATCTCTTAAAACCTGAACTGCTCATCTGCACCAGAAATGTTCCTGAGTGGATGCTAGTGCAGTGGGCTAGAAAATGCTGATTTGGATAGAGCAATAAAGTTTGTTGTTATAGTCTGTTTAAAATGGAAGAAACAGTGATGACAGCAAAGATGTATGTGGATAAACGACATTTTTTCTTAATAAGTCCAAGGCTTCAAAAGGTACATTGCTTTCCTTAATTTTTGGGTTTGTGGTAGCTAAACTCCAGTAATACAATCAGCTAGGCCAGCCTTTACCAGATATATTACCTGTTCATTTAACAGTCATTAAATATGCATGAACCATAATTGTTGCTGCATTTGGATCCCAGGACAACCTGGTCAGAACCCCCTCTGGTTGCAAGCATCCAGTGACATTTTCAGAGATACTGCTATATTTTTAATGACCCCTTTTTTATCTTCTGTACCTCCTTGCAAATGCATTTTGAGAACTTTGGCAGTTGTAAAGGTTTGATGTGCTCTAGTGAAATTATTCTGCCCTTAGTCCTAGAAATGAGATGTCTGCTCTTTGGACACGACAGTGACAGTGCTGAGTGATCCCTCCTGTGTGCAACTCCCTTTGTGCTGCACAATCGTGTGCCAAGGACACCTGGGAGTGAGACCTGTTCTTAATGCTGTGGGAAATGGGTGTCATTGCAGTGGAACTGGGAAACAGCTGAATTTGTGTTTGTGAGGCATATGGTCTGAAACAGTAGTTCTCTGTTGAAATTTGCATTTGTCAGCCCAGTACAATTTTTTTTTAACAGTAAAATTTCCTGTAATCCAGCCTTTGAGTTAGTTCTGTGGGTTGAATCTGAAAAAACAAATTTTTTGCTGCTTATGGAGAAGACCCTGTGCTCCCTCTGTGGAAATGGCCTCAGACTCCAGCTGTGGCCAGAGAAGCAGACTGGTGATGTGATCAGCCATGGAAGGAAACAACAAGACAACACTCTGTGGTGGGTGGGTCTTGTTTGTGTTATAAATGAAATTACAATTTTACAACTAGGTCTATTGAGTTAACAGCAATTTAATAACAAAAAAAAAAAATACACAAAAATTTAATACAATTTAGTGAATTGAATACAAGAATAGAATTTAGTAAAAGAATACAATTCAGTGGCTTGAATAGGAATTTGGTATAAAAGGAATACAATTTAGTAAAAGAGTACAATTTCATGAATATATTCAGATATATATATATAGATATATATAGATATGTGAATATAGTTTGCCAGTAATTGAGTATGATTAAAGCATAAGCAAAACTGACTGGAGTATGGAGAGGGCTTCTCACCCTCCTCACGTATGAAACAAAGCAATTCAAACTAAACTTACATACTGTATGCTTATAAATATTCATTAATGTTTCCAGTTAGTCTCCTCCTATTTCCAATGGAAATAGGAATTCTTTAATTTTACATCACTATTCTTCATGGCACATGAAGCACTTGTTGCTAGGGGGTCTCCAGTCTTCTTTTGGTGGTCTTTGAATGAAGGCTTACACTCATCCTCATTTTCCAGGATAACCTTATAGGTTGCAGTGTGCGTACTAAGCGTTGTGCTATGTAAATAAGCATTATATTCCATTAATTAGTCTTACATTTTATAATTTCAGGCCCTATGCTTAAAGCCGCTCCAGCTTTGTCCATCTCAAAGTCGATTTTGTCTTGGCACATTACTTACCTTAAACTACATCCTGTATCCTGTTTTTAACATGTAACATCTGTAAAGGGGTCCATCTGCCTTGTAACACTAAATCCTTTTATTGCTTTATAATAGCAACTTTTTAAATAGTTACAATTTAGTTAGCACGAATCATCTCTATTACATTTGTGTGTCAATTACAAAAAGAGAGCCTGAAAGTGTTGTCACAGGAGTCTGAGTCAGGGGTTCTGGTAGGTGTTTGTCAGACCAGATACTGCAGGGGGCACAGACAATCCTTGGGACCACTGTCAGAACAGCCACTGAAATCTGGATGGGAATATTGAGAACAAAAAATTCCTCCACTGATCTGCATCTTTGCATCTTAGCTATGAAAGGAATTTCCAGTCTCTATTAGACTCTCAAGCTGTTAGCAATTATTAACCATTTTGTGGGTTTTTTCCCTCCCAATCACTGTGATGGTGATGTGACAGGCACAGAATGATCCTAAATGAGGAAACAATTAGAAAGGACAGCACTGCTGTGAAATGCTCCAGAATAACTCGAACTGCAGGGCTGCTTGACAATCAATGGTTATGTCAGAGTCCTGCAAGTGACCTGAATGTTTTTATTTACTGTGAGCTTTCATGAGGAGCCACTGATCAAGGCAAGGGATAGTGCCCTTCCCTCCTAATCAGTAGGACCTGGAAAGACATTTTGGAACATTTTCCAGACATTCTGGAAAGACATCAGTGGAAGGTTCCCTGTCCATGGCAGGAGGGTGGTGACAAAATTATCTTTGTGGTACCTTACAACACAAAACATTCCATGATTCTGTGATTTTGGTTTTGCCTGCTCACAAGCAACTGGTATGGGCTTAATGCATGAAGCACATATGGAAATTTTCAGCCTGTGTTATTGGGAGGATCAGTTTCAGCAATTATGTGTGTCCATTCTGGATTTAAAATCTTGAAGCCAGTGATTAAATATGTTTTTGCTTAAGATGTGCTGCCTTGCTTGGCACGCACATGTTTGGAACAGAATTTTTGAGAAAGAGAAGGTTTCCAGCAGGGCTGGCACAAGTGCCAGAAGTTTCCAGCACTTGTGCCAGAAGGAAATGAGTAAGCTCCTACCTAGAAATAAGCATCTATGCAAGTATTTTAGCATTAAAATTGGGGCATCTGGAGTTTGTGAAAATGCTCTGACCCAGGATATACAGTTTATCAGAACTCTTTTGGATTAGTTTTTGATGCATTTGGAAGTGTAAGGCAGTGAATTTTCCCTGTAAAGAGCAGGAGCTGCTGCATGCAGTCACACACTGCTGTGCAGTGTGCTGTGTTGACAGCACATCAGCTGTACACTCAGATCAGCTCTCAGCTGCTCTGTTCTGCCTTGCACAAACAGCTGTTCCATAGTCTGCACTTCTGGGTGCTGTTGGGAGCAGCTGACGTGCCTGCAGGGCAGGTGTCAGCAAGGCTGGGCCTGGCAGGGCTGATTTTAGGGAGAGGAGGGACCCAAAGGCCCTGGGCTTCTCTGGAAGGGAGGTGGCTGGGAGTGCTCACAGGTGTCTCATCTGAAAGTGAAGTACAAATCTGCAGCATGGCCACAAGTCATCTTCTCACAAGAGAATTGTGCCTGGGCCTGGCCTGGCAGTGTGATGTCTGGCTCCAAACCTCGTGTTCAGAGACAGCTGTGTGATCCCCCAGCCTGGCCCTTTACACAAATTCTTGGCATTCCTCCCTGGAGAGTCTGATGATCTGTTTTGTACATATTTTTCAGGTGATGATGACAGTCTGCCTAGTTCACTAATTCTGGAGCACAATTCCTGAGGAGATCTGGCATTCCTGGCTTAAGCTTTGTATTTGTATTTGTTACACATTTCCTGCTTCCACACAATGCTATCTGAGAAAATTGCTACAGCCTTGTACTTAAAATAGGAAAGAAATGTCAGGAGTTTGGATAGAAGAGACTCAATAGGAGGAAATAAAGCTCCTATTTTTATCCTCTGTCTTAAAGACTTCATAATGTTTATACTTTCTGGCTGAAATTGCATAGCTTAGCCTATTTCTGTATATTAATTTCTTCTTTCAAAAGTCCTAATAGAATCTCTGTGCCTTTTTTCAACCACAGCATATATATGTGTGTATATTTACACACTTGTGCAATTATAGGATGTGGTTTTTCTGCAAAATTTGTTATGGAAGTTGTAGAGCTGAAATGAAATGGCATATAAAGTTGTAAATTTGGCATGTTGAGACTGGTCTAAAAGTTCAGCTGGGCTTGAGCATTGTCTTTTATAAAACTGTGATGTGTGTTAATGATTTCTTTTAGCTGGTAATGTGTCTTGCTCATAAAATCACATTTATGTGTGCCTGAAGCTGTGTAACTTAGATGTTACAAAATACACAAACAAGATGGTGCTTAGGAGGTGGTAATGCTTTTTAGAGGATGTACTAGTAGTTCACTTCAGAGGTGCTGAATCTTCATCTAGGTAATGAATGAGATCAGGAATCTGGGAATTTACATTCCCAGACTGTGCTGTCACTGTTTCATTCTAGCCAACTTTCTTACTGTCATTAATTCTTTTTTTAATGATTTTATTATATCAGTTAGATGGAGAATTATTTAAATATATCTATGTGCAATCTCTGAGGTTTCATGTTGACTTTTGAAAGGTGAAAGTAAACTTTTTTCATCAAATGTATAGGCAGTGATAGGTCAGAGATGACCCATTTGAAGTAATATATCCCAAACCTAGGAATTAAAAGAAAAATCAAACCTAATGTACTTTTCAGGCTTGTGCAGGGGTGCAGCAGTGGTCTAGAAGAGGGGGTGGAAGGAGGTTATCTGTAAACCAGAGTAAAGAATGCACCTGTTTAAAATGCCAGCTCTCAGTACAGGTGTGAATCTGAATTCTATGTCCCCACATAACTTGTCAGCAACCAGGCAAATAAGAGAAGAATCAAGCCCTAGAGCTACCATTGGCAAAGGGTGATTCAATGAAAAGACTAATCTAGTTAAATGAGAAGGCCTTTGTGTATGGAATTACTCCCAAATGTAGTTCAAAGAACAATGCATGCTATTGAAATGCATTTGAAAAAAAGGAAAAAAAAAGAGGAGAGGAAAAAAGGGAAATAAATGAGCTGTTCAAAGGGTTCTTTTGTATCAGACTAATGCTTTCAGGAGGAGTTCCCAGCTTCCAAGATGTATGAGGAGGGGAGGGAGAGATGAAGGAAGAAAAAGAGACAATTTCCCCACAAGGTAGAGCAGCAGCTCCACAAGTGACAGCAGTGCTGAGGCTCCCAAGAGCCCAAACATCTGCTGTGAAATGGTCCACAGGGAAGGCATGAAGAAAGCAGCCTTCATTTCCAAGGTGCAGCCCCTCCCCATTTGTTGTGTCTTTGATTAATATTACTATCCTTAAAAAACCAATGAAACCAAAACAAAAACACCCCCCCCCCAACAACAACAACAACAACAGCAAAACCCCACAAAAACAACCCCCCAAAACCCCCCAAAAAAACAACCAAACAAAAAAAAGCCCCAAAAAAGCCAGGTGATGTTTGCCAGGTGATGTTTGCCAGCAGTCCCAGTTTTGCAGCATCAGTCAAGGCTTTAGAGCTGCTGTACAGCAGTAGGATTGTGTTTGTGTGCAGGGCTGTAATGCCTGATCCCTTTTGGAGTTTTTGTGCTCTCTCAAGACTGAGTTCAGGTTCCACAGTGTGCAGTGGGATAAGTTTATGTGTCCAGAAATACTGCAAAATAGGCTTGTGAATGTGACTGATGTGTACAACGTGGGAGGCAACATGTCTGGAGTGTGCAAGCAGTGGGGCTGGCTTTGTTCTCTAGAAAGAGTTCCTAGTTAAAGCTGTTTTTTCCAGAATTTCTGGAAGTTTTTGCTAGATTCTCTGGATAATCCAGGTTGAAAGAAACATCAGGTCAGCTAGCCTAACATTTTGCTCAAGTAGGGTGAGCTGAGGTCAGACCAGTTGACTTAGGGCTGGCTGATGCTCATTGGCCTTTAAGAATTTTTTGGTAGTTTCTTTGTCATGATAATATTCCAGTATATGAATTTACAAATACAAATTTACACCCCTTTCATGTTTTCTTTTGCCAGGTTCATAGATAAAAGCTTTTTGAAAAGCTATGAATTTTACAGTATAACTTTTCATTTATTTGTTTGATTTTTAAGGAAACCACATGAAATCTTCAGGTCTGGATGATTTAAAGTGATACTCACTTCAAATCCCATTGTGATAGACCAGCTAGGTACCAAACACAGATTGCTGTTTATTACTGACACACAGTTTAAAACAGTGAGAGGAAATTCAAACCCAGATGGAATTTCAAGGCCAAAAATCACTATTGTGGTCATTTTGCCTGGATTTCACACAGCACCACTCACAGGTTGCCTGGGAGCTTGTGGTTGAACCAGAGAAGGACAGTTGGCTTTGTTGAAGTCCTTGACATTGCTTTTAAATCTGACATTAAAAGAACTTGGCAGCTTTGGGGTGTGGTGAACACTCAGCCTACAGACTAGACTGGACTGAAACCATTAAAGGTGATACATAAGGAAATTTTAAAATCTGTTTCACCTGGAAGCGCTGAGTGGTCTCAGCAGAACCTGTAGACATTAATTCTGCCCGTGGTCTGCATTCCCCTCTGCAGTTATGCTGAGAGCTGTCTGTAAAAATACTATTTTTCAGGTGTTTTACTGGCAGGCTGTTAGAAAGACATTGCAGAAGTTTCTCTCTTCTGGTTCCTATCTCCAGAAACACGTATGTACATAAGGGCATTTTTCTTGCAAGACCTCCTGCCTGATGAAAGCAGCGCCATCTGGCTTTGTCTTCCTTTTTTTCACCAAATATTTGATGCAGTGTGTAAAACTAATTCCAGCACAACCAGTTTATTAGCACTGTTGCCATGTTTTCATTCACTAGATGAATGAAATATACTTGCAATTACTTCCCTTTGTTGGCTTTTCTGCATTTACTTGCTGAATAACTCTTGTGTTTTTATTAAATCCTGATGGTTGCACTTGTTGAGATTAATTTTCGTTGTCTTAAGAGTATAGTGATCATGGAATTAATAGTACATCAAATAAATACAAAAGGTATCAAAAACATCAAATCAGTTTTATGGATATATAAGCATCTTTGTATTTACAGGGTATTTGTTATAATTAATTCCTATCTGTTTTCATAGAAGTTTTGTGCAGCTCTGTGAGGGCAGCCAGGGACAGCAGCTCTTTTATGGGTTTTTATGGGGGAAAGCCAGGGTGGTACTGGGGGAGAACCAATGGGTTACAAAGGATCAGCACAGTCACCAAGCGTGGTGGGACAGCTCACCATGAGAGGAGAGGGTGGCTTTATCCAGGAGGTATCTCCTGTAAGGGAGGGTTGAGATAAGCTTATCCCAGCTCCCTCAGGGCACATTTCTCCGAGGGAAGGTCTTGGCAGGCTCACCTACCTCAACAAGTTTAGGATAACTGCCCCATTAAGATGCATATTTTACTTTTTTAACTGTGCTGTGACAGTTTCTGCCATTGCCAAACTGTGCTGCCAACATCTCTGTTTAATGCTCCCATTACTGGTGTGAAGGAGTTGAACATCAGTCCAGTGCTACTGAAATACTGAGGTGTAGAGGAAATTACCCTTTGATAAATGGGGCTTAGATCTGTAAATGCAATTTTTAAACCCCCTGTCTAGTTGGAGATTAAAATCAATAGTTGTGCTTCTACCTAAAGAAATCCTTCCACTGAGCATCCTGCTGCTGAATCTGCCTGGAAGCTGAGCCCTGGTTAATTGACCTCCCCGGGGGTCTGAGGATGGAGCTGTTCCCCATCCACCCCAGGGATGTCCACATTGTATTGATAAGACTGAGGTCCCTCTGGTCTGCAGGGTGAAGATGCAACTTTTAATCATAAGCCTTAGAGAGGGTAAGTTGGTAGCAGTAGATAAGAATTTGGGGTTATGGCAGGAGTTTAGGGTCTCAGCCCAGCATGGAGCTGCTCAGTGGTGCTTTGGGGAGCACAAGGAAAGCCAATCCAAAATCAGCCTTTTGCTGATCCAGCAGATATTTTCAGGGGCAGTGACATGACTGCAGGGTGAAGGGCAGAGCACCCTGACTCTGACAGTGACAATGCCATGCTTATGGTGTCTGGGGCACAGGTCTGAGCCCCTCGTGTTGGGAAAAGAGTGAGCTGAGTGCTCTGACAGCTACACTGCTGCACCACTTCAGGCAAAACACACTCCTTCATTTCAGAAAAGAATCTCACCCATCTGCTGGAGGGGGAAAGTCATTCTAGGTTGTGAATCTTCATTGAAGCTCAGAGGCTTAAATGTCTGAGGATAGAAGGAGGAAAAGTTACTGCCTCAAAACATTGGCAAGCCAGGCATGCTGATGAGAGTAACCCCAAAGAGAAACCCAGCATTGCTGGCTGTGTCCAGTGCCACTGATAAAACAACTGGGTGCAATCACAGAATCCCCTGATTTGCTTTGGGATCAGCTGCCTGAGGATGAAGCGCTGCTAAATGCAAGCTCTGCACTGGATCTGGTTCCCAAGGGAGCTTGCAGTGATGAAATACAGGCTGTGTCCTGTGCTTGGAGCAGAGGTACCTGCACACCTGTGCTCTTACCACTGCCAGCCTCCACAGACCAAGGGAAGGCTGGGCTCAAGGCGTGGGTGCAGGCAGGATTTCATCTTTTGGGCTAGAGCTGTCTCTGCCACAGCACTCTGGAGGATCACTGCAGTGTGGTGACTGCCAGGAGAGCGAATTGTGAGGCCCTAAGTCAGTGTGATGGATTGTAAAAGGGTCATAAATCAAGGGGAAGTCATTAGTCCCTTCTGAGGATTCCATTCTTGA